GTCAGTCCCAGGGTCCGAGCTCGTGCTGAAAGAGTTAATAATATAGCAATTACAAAACAAGAAACTGATCCAAAACGAAATATGCCAGATAAAGATCACTGTAAACAAAAGAAACAGTAAAATTAATAAAATAGCATCATTTAAAGCAGGTATGAAATAACATTGGCAAGTAAATATAATAGAGCAGTTATTGGATTAGATATTTGAGCTTAAAAATTATTTTGATCATTGACTAGTAAGCTTCCATCACTGTTTGATCTTTTGTGGTTTGTTTGTTTTGTGGAATTTCATACAAAGCTACAAGAGCACTATCTGTGCTACCTGTCCCTAATTTAGAAATGGTAGACTAGAGGGGATGGCAGCTAGTCAACACTACCCACTGATATACACTTACTTCTATATATGACATGAATAACCAATCGGAAGCTCAGAATGTCCCCCTAGTGGCTTTCTTAGCCATTTTAATGGGATTGTTGCCATTTCTTTCTTTTGAATTTGGTAGGATTGACTACCACTTTATAACACCCCCCATGGGAGAAAGGGTTAGCATGTGCAATGATGGGATTCAAACTTGCTACCCACAGATTGTGAGTGATGCTTCCTAATCACCAAGTTGTGCCAGTTCCATTGGTTAACTCTAGAGAAAAGTAGAAATTGATATAGGAATATATAAGGAAGATTGAAGAGAGAGGTTATCCAGACATTAATAGTTTAGAATGTTTATATGAGAGGAAACTTTGATAAGATAATGTGTTTTTTAGGAATATGAACACATTCATAACTTAATGATGTGAATTAATCAGAAATATACAGAGAGTGTGCAGAAGATAATATTATATATATATATTGTGAACTGTAATGTTTGTCCTTGCATTCCTTCGTCTCTCGTTTACAGTGGCCACTTTCTGTGCTGCATTTGAAAATGCTCCACATGCAGGCAAAGCTGAACATTCTTTTTTCAAATTATGGGAGAACAGGCATGACTAATATTGATGCCAAATTTTGTTTCACAAGTAGGATATTCTACACTAATTTTTTAGGAATTAATCACTCTATTATTCACATTTCAAAATGTGACATAACTTAATAAATAAAAATGTGGGTTTACTGTATGTTATTGTTGAGTGGCTCTTAGCATGACTAAAATGCTCACCAATTATTTTTCGTGGTGGGCGGTATAAGTAACCCAGAGCTTTGGCTCAGAGAACCCAAGAGTGCAACACAATTAACCTTTTTAAAGTCCATGAAATAATTTAATTTCATAGATTAACTTAAACTTTTCCCATCACTGGAGACATACTTTTGCTAGATTAAAGATATACACTTAAACTTTTCCCATCACTGGAGACGGGTACTTTTGCAAGATTAAAGATTAACTTAAACTTTCCCATCACTGGGGACAGGTACTTTTGCTAGATTAAAGATTAACTTAAACTTTTCCCATCACTGGAGATGGGTACTTTTGCTTATATGTTAATAAGTTGGTGTGAGTTTGTATAAGGAATTTAACAATATTAAATTGATTTGTTTATCATAAGCTAAATTGCTAGCTAATTATATTTAGTATCTATTAGGAAGATTACATGCTAGTAGCTTTAATGTGAGAACTTAATAACACACTAGTAAGGTGATGTGAGAGTTTGAGGAAGTTAAAATGATAGTTTACCAAGAAGACAACATTAGAAGTTTATTAAGAACATAACATGCTAATAAGTTATAATGAAAGATTATCAAGAAGTAAGCTATAGAGAGTTTATCAGAAAAATACTAGTAAGTAGATCTAAGGGTTTAGAAAAACTTAACACTAATTTAATTTAATGTGAGAGTAATCAAAAATAAATTTGATGTGAGATTTTATCAGGATGTTAATAAGAAGAAGCTAAAATAAGAATGAATGTTTTACTCATAAAAAAAAGACCTAATCAATGCGCATGTTAAACTAGTTATAACAATAAGTTTAGTACTTGGAAGACAGTATGATGAATACTGTGGTAGAAATTTTACTAATCAAAAACAAATTGTTTTAAAAGAAATGACTTGTTTATTCTAGGTGGTGACAGCTCATGCAGTAAAAGTTCCTGTCACTCCAAACCTTTGTAGCAATACCACAGGATTTCTTCCTGTACATTGTATCCATCAGTTGTTGAAAAGTAGAGCTTTCACTAAACACAAGGTAACAGAACTGTATTCATTAGTTGTTGAAAAGTAGAGCTTTAACTAACCATAAGGTAACAGAACTTTATGCATTAGCTGTTGAAAAGTGGAGCTTTCATTAAACATAAGGTAACAGAACTGTATTCATTAGATGTTGAAAAGTAGAGCTTTCACTAAACACAAGGTAACAGAACTGTATTCATTAGTTGTTGAAAAGTAGAGCTTTCACTAAACATAAGGTATTAGAACTATGTTCATTAGTTGTTAAAAAAAGCTCTTATTAAGCATAGAGTATTAGATATCTGTATTCATTAGAAGATAAGTATTTTACTAAACTGGGAGTATTAATTATCTTTGTTCATCAGTCACTGAAAAACAGTTTCAAGGTAACATCTGCATTCATCATTTATTAAGAAAATAGAGCTTTCAATGAGAGTCATTTTGCTTTTAATATTTTTTTATTTTTTGCATAAGGTACCTATTAAAGATTGGATCTATCGGCAAATTTGCAACACAGTTCCACCTTTACATCCTGTTTTGCCACCACTTATTGAAGTTTATGTTAACTCTGTGATTATTCCAAGCTCTAAATCTGCTCAAGATACAACTAATGAACCAATTACAGAAGATGAAATAATGGCAGTATTTAAAAATTCCATCTTTGTACCACGGGCATCAAAAAATAACTCTTCAAGACCTTCATCTAGATCTGGTCGAAGTACTCCAATAGCGATGGAAACAAATGAAGAAACTCCTTCATCACTAACATCACAGATGTTATTACTTTATTACTTGTTGCTGTACAAAGACACTAGACTTGCCAATATGAAGGCTATACTATCTGCTAATCGTAAAGTAAAGTGTTACTCTTCCAAGTTTTTTTGCACAACTACCAATTATCTACTTGTTACAGCAAGCTCAACGTGAGCAGCAGCAGTTTGCTGGACTGTTTTCTCCCCTCTTGAGGCTCCTGGCCACTCACTTTCCTCATCTCTGTCAAGTAGAAGAATGGATTGTTGAGGAGAAAAAAAAAGCATTTCAAAAAGTTGTTGAACTTGGAAGTTTTAAACCTAAGATTGTTTGTACCACTGACAGTTTAAGAGAAGGTAGGTTTTGTACTTCAAGCTTTAATTGTGTAAATGTGAATAATTGCTAACTTTTAATTTGAATCAAATGTAAAACTTACCAATGCTAGATTTTGTAGGTATAGATTCGTTATTTGTGCTTGAACTGGTTGTTGTCAAATATTAATCTTGAGCATATTCCTTAAGCATTTCTTTTTAATCCAGAACACACAGTATGACTGGAATGATGGTAGTAAAACATTAAAAGGATTATAAACCTCCTAAACACAAAAGTTTAAGTTAATTGTAAGCTAATCATCCTTGGGCAGTCTTTCTCTTGATTACAGAAAAGTCATGAGTATACTCCTTAATGAGATTATTATTACTATGAGGATAGTCTCTTGTTAATTTATTCTTTTACAGCTTTCCAAGAAGTCTCTACTTGCTCCATTAAGCTCCTTGCTCTTCTTGATCACCTCTTGTCACTGCCTCTATACCAACTCTGGCCATTTGCTAGTTCTTTTGCCTCTCACCTTCCTCAACTACTTGATCCCAGTGTTCCACAGCTTCTAGTAGATAAGGCTAATGAAGTATGGTGGAGACTAAATCGTGTTTTTCCACGTCGTTTATGGGTCATGACGGTAAATGCCACTCGTCCGACAAGGCTCCCACTGGTAGCTTTAAAACCTCTAATATTGGATGATATTGTACTTGACCCACTACATGTCCTTCGGTGTGATCAGCGATTGTTTAGGTGAGTTCTGTGTCATTGTTTCAATCAGTAAGTGCTCAGATTAGTTTATTGTGCTCTTGTCTATTATCATGGATCATTGTTTTGATTGTTCACTTCAAATTATTTAGATTGTATTTTTGCTAGCTAGTAAAAACAGTGGAATGTTCAGATGAGTTTCATAGTTTATTAAATAAAGTTGAATAATTTATTTTGTATTCAGAAGATTCCATTGTATCCTTGATAGCTAGTAGGAATTAGTAGGTGTTCAAATGATTTAAGTGTTTCCTTGATGGCTAGTAGGAGTAATAGTGAGTGTTCTGATCATTTGATTTTATCTTTGATAACTTGTACGAATTAATAAGTGTTCAAATCATTGTAATTTTCCTTGATGTCTAGTGGGGGTAATAGTGAGTGTTCAGGTCATTTGATTATATCTTTGGCTAATAGAAATTAATGGATGTTCAGCCACATTTATGACACATATAGAAAGTTGGGTATAAATTGTGGAATGAAAAATAGTCCAGTATTAGAGTACATATACCATATGATTTGAATTTTATAATATTGTTCTTTAAGTGAATTGTGACTTTAGGTAAAGGGTTTGTTTCTACCTCAAGTAAACTGTATATACTGTATTTTTAATATGTTTTTCTTTAGATGTGCCTCATTGCTGGAGATTACTTTGTACATGCTACGAGCTTTTTTGGCAGCATCTCGTACGCACCTTACACATCATGTACTGGAACACCCTCTTCTGGAGAAGACGGGGCCTTTAGAAGGAGAGAAAGATCGAGAAGATCTGAAACATGCATTGATGATGGCCCAGGAAAGTGCAGCAGTACAAATCCTAATGGAATGTCTACTTCCAATGGATGAAGAAAATGTAATAATCAGCATATTAATTTTCTAAATATTCAGTAAACATTTTGCCAACTATTTATAAGTATTGTAAAAATAGAACACAAATATGTAGTGCTAGAAGGTTTTGCATATCTTTTACTTATTTAATTGTCACCAAGGGATAAAGAAATTGCAATTTAGTTAACCTCAGAAACTTATCTGTAAGCTTTCTTAATACTTGCTCAGTTTTAAATGTTAAATATTAAAATTTATCTGAATGCATACTCTCAATGTAATCATAGTTTATTAAGTAAAGTTGAATAATTTATTTAAATATTTAGTTTTATTTTTATGTTTGTCTCTGGCAGAAATCAGAGGGACTGTTGACAAGATTAAGAGAAGTGCAAAGCTTAATATGTTCCCATTTCCATCAAGTCTTTATAGCTGATCCACATTTGGTGAAGTTGATTCACTTTCAGGTATACCTTCATACATTCTAATGTGTTTATATGTGTTAAACAAATAAAATGTTTGAATAATTCAAATAAATATATTTAGCTATCTAACTGTAGTTTAAATATATAATCATATATCTCCAAATGTATTTAATATCTGAGATACATCCAAGCATTATTTACGTATATATCAAAGTATATTTAGTGAATTTTAAAATCAGATAATCCAAGTTATTTCAAGTGTGTAGTTTTATTTTTAAATTTATGTACTTTGTTCTTTAGGGTTATCCTAGCAAACTCTTGCCAATCACCGTCACATCGATTCCATCAATGCACATCTGTCTTGATTTTATTCCGGAACTTTTAAGTCAGCCACAGTTGGAAAAGCAGGTAAACAGTTAAAGTTGTTGTTTTTACTTAATCTGTTATACATGGCACTGCATATATTAACAAGCACTTTCTTATTTTAATGAAAAGGTCAAATTGTATGCTAGCTAAATAAAATAAAGTTCATCTTATTGGTTGGGTTTTACCCTGCAAGTATTTTCTTGTTTTAGGAAGTAACAATTGCACACAGCTAAATGAAATATATTTAAAGGTAATCTTTTGGCTCTGTTTTACCCTCGAACCACATACATTGTTTTATTGCTTCCATGGATAAGGTAGTGCATAGAAATAGCCATATAGAGTATGAGAAAAATCATCCTTATGGTTGTTTGTGGCATCACTTAAATGTTTAACTTGTTTCTGGTAGGTCCATGGAGAATGTTGTGCGTAGAAGTAACATGTATAGTGTAAAAAAGATTGTCCTAATGAGTGTTTATGTAGCATATCTTAAATATTTAACTTGTTTCTGGTTGGTCCATGGAGAATGTTGTACGTAGAAGTAACATGTATAGTGTAAAAAAGATTGTCCTAATGAGTGTTTATGTAGCATATCTTAAATGTTTAACTTGTTTCTGGTAGGTCCATGGAGAATGTTGTACGTAGAAGTAACATGTATAGTGTAAAAAAGATTGTCCTAATGAGTGTTTATGTAGCATATCTTAAATATTTAACTTGTTTCTGGTAGGTCCATGGAGAATGTTGTGTGTAGAAGTAACATGTATAGCGTAAAAAAGATTGTCCTAATGAGTGTTTATGTAGCATATCTTAAATGTTTAACTTTTTTTAAGTCCATGGAAAAAGTAGTGCATAGAAATAGCCATACATAGTATAAGAAAGATAATCCTTATAGGTGTGTATGTGGTATACCTTAAGAATTTAACCGTTTGGCTACTGCATTCTTACATCACAAGGACATAATCTGACTGTCATCATATTTCATTCCAAAAATAAAACTTGTTTGAAACTTAACAGAACTTTTTTAAAGGCATGTAGTTTCAGAAAAATAAAATACTTAATTTTTTTTCTACTAAAAATTTGTTATTTATTGTAGTTATTTGCACTTAACCCTGAATAGTTCAAGTGCAAGGTGATTTTCATGTTGAGTATAAAAATATTTTTTATCTTACAGTTTTCAAATTTCATTTGCATAACCTCTAGAATCTCGTAAATGAATATTAAAAGTTTTTTAATGTAAATGCTAAAATTTTTCATTTTCTCTTTCTCTATCATATCACTAACTGTAACCATTATCTTCAACAAAAAGTGCAATAAAATGTTTAAAATTAAGAAATAGAAATATATACATACCTTTTTAACTCTTCATCGAATAATCTTAAAATATCTTCTTTTGGTTATATTCATACTTTCACATCTTTTATCATTTATTATTCATCTTGATATATTATTTTTTCTTGAAGGATGTAAAACCTAAAACTGAGAATAGCTAACTGAAATATATCTAGAACATTTGTCATTGACAATAATCACAGAAAGTAAATTGATTTGTCTGCCAGTACTTTATTCATAATACCTTCCTGTTTTCATTTGAGAAGCAGAAAATTCCAAGATAAATTGTTTAAATTTGAATACCATGTACATCATTTAATAATAAGAAGAAGAAAATCTCTTTACAGCACAATTTTCAGCTTGGTGCAATTACAGTTGAGCAATAAAATAGACAATTTAAGTCCAGCTTATTCATATCTATATAAATTAAAAGTTTTCATGTTACATAATTCTGTGTTATAGTTTTGACATTTGAGTGCTGGGGAAGGAGTTTTCATGATATTTTATATGATCCTAGCTCGATCTTCAATCAAGACCATTGGGCTCAGTGTATGATCTCTAAAGTTTTATTTTCATTGGTGTTTTTAGTATACCAGATTTTCATGTGTTTGGTAGGTTTTTGGAATTGAACTGACATCATACTTATGCCAGCAGTATGCCATTCCAAAATCACTCAGCATCGCCAGACTTTGTATTAGTGTTGTTCACACATTACTAGGAGGTAAGATGAACCTTGTGTCTTTATTGTTTAGTGTTATAGCACATAAGATATCAGTACATTAAAGAAGTAGCCAGAAACAATGTCTGCCTGTAATGACAGTGAGAAAAACTTTAGTATGGAAGAGCCATTTAAATGTTACACCTCATTGTAATGCACTAGTTAAATATGTTTTTTGGTTCATCTTATGTCCAAATACTGTCTGAGTATTAATCAAGCAATAGATTTAATTTAGTAGCCCAGAAGTATTTTGTAGTAGTAACCAGGGGGAGATATACAGTAATGGTAGTTTAAGACGTAGTTGAAAGTGATAAAAAAGTAAAGTTGTATTTAAAATTGTGACAAAGATTGAAATATTTGAAGAAGGTATTGATGATCCAACTGAAAAGATCTTTTTTTCAGAAAGAAGAGAGATTTGATAAGAAAAAGAGTACTAAAGCTTACAAAGCCTAATAACAGAATTTTCAGATGAATTAGTTTATTAACTAATTTTAGAGGTAATGAAAAAAAAAGTAATAGTTTGTTAGAGTAGAAAAAATATGTTTTTGGAGGTAAGGAAAACAATAAGGAAATTTTTGGAAAGATAAATTTAACCCTTTGTTCCCTGGAATGAAAAAGACAAGAAAGGAGAAGTGGATCAGATATAGAAGAAATGAAATCAAAGAGGAATGAAAAAATTTGGAATACTTTAGAAGGAATTTTATAAGTGTTTAAAATAAAATAAAAGAGAATGAAGAAAGAAAATGACTGAGTAATTTTTATATAACTGTAGAATGGGAGAAGGAACATGGGAAGACAGAAAAGATGCAATTAGAAACAAAAAATCTGGACTTCAGAGAAAAGTTAATAGGATTGATGGGTTAGAAAATAAGAGAAGGACTTGAAGAAGATAGAAAGAAAACTATAAAAGAGTCTGAAGAAAAGTTGAACATATTAGTGGGGAAGATGTATGGATCCATCCCATTGGGAATTTCTCAAGCACATAAAATAAGAATGCAAAGAGAAAAAGTGTCTAGATCTAAAATAGTAACATTTTAACAATGAACAGAAAATATTCTATAGAAAAAAAAGAATTTGAAAGATATGGAAATCTGTATTGAAGAAGATTTTTCTGCACATATTAGAAGAATAAGATATATAAGATAAGTGTGATATATGATAAATTGATAATTGAGATTTAAGATTTTGAATGAGACAAAGAAAATTCTGAAGTGGTGATTTCATGGAAGTTTTTAAACTGGAAAAAAGATTTAAGGTTGATAAGCAAAGTACAAGAAATATAAAAGAAGTGGGAAAGATTGTAAGAAAGAGGGAGAGGAATAGGGAACAGAAAAAAGGAGGTCAACACAGTACATATAATGGAAGATAACAAATAATTAGGATTTTTAGGAGTGTGTTTGAAAACACGAAGTGGTGATTCCAATAACGATGTATTGAGAAACGTAATGATAAGTATGAGAGGAAAAATTAAATGGGCAGAAAAAAGAAAAGAAGATGAGAAGAGCAAAAGGAGGTTGTATAATAGGAGTTAAAAGAAGATTGGGATCGAAATTTAAGATGAAGAAGAAAGAAAGGTGAATTTTGACAAAAGGAAAAACAATTTTCATGGTGTGTAATAATCAGGAGATAGAGCAAATGGTTGAGACCGTGGAAGTAAAATTGGAAGAACAATTACAGGAAGATAAGAATGCAAGGATTGGAAATAAAGACTAGAATATAATGTGGAAGAAGAAGGTATAGCATATTCATGGAAAAGTTTAGGAGTTTTGTGAACCTTGGAGATTCAAGGTGTTGAACAAAAAAGAAGATGGGGAAGAGAAAGGAAGATAGATGTATCTAAAAGACTTTGGTCATAGACTATATAATGGAAAAATAATAGCCAGAATCAATGAATAAGTGGATAAAAGTTGAAAATGTGATAGAATCCAATCATATGTCAAATACATTGTATATTAAAGAAGAACAGAAACTTTAGGAGATAAATAAGAAAAATGTTTTGGATGAAAGGAAAAATTATATAGGAAGAAATGGCTATAGATAGAGAAGAAGACCAGGAAAAGGTTTTCTATAAACTTAACACAGCTTGGAAAATGGAGTAGAAAGGAAAGGTAATGAAGGTTGAAACAAGAAGGGCAAATGGATTGCTTAATCAAGAATATACAGAGCAAAAATAGAAATAGATAACAATTAAAAAAATGTAAAAGAAGGAAGGGATTGCAGCATTCATATTAGAAAGCGTAAGATATGGGTGAAGTAGTGAATAATAAAACAACTAAAGGGTTATGGAAAGCAATGAATATGTTCTGGAGAAGGAGAGTGGACAAGCCCTGAATAATGAAAGAAAGGAGGGAACACTTTGACAAAATGTTAGAAAAGAAAAGAATTGCAAGAGATAAAAATGGATAGTTGATGGAAAGAAGAGGAATTTGAAAAGTATTTAAATTTGAAGAAAGGAAAGAATCCATATAAAGATGAAGAGTTGAATGGACAAATATAACAAACGAAATGAGAATTAAAATATCAAAATATTGGAGACAACAAAAATCTAAAGAAATTAAGAGCTTAGCAAATATTTACCCAATTTATAAAATGAAAGATGAAGCAGAGGTAAAGAGAAGTGTCATTACTAAATGTAAGAGATTAATGACTGGAATGATGACAGAAGACTTAATGAATGATTAGATGATAAGTAATAAAGGAAAGCCAAATGTGATTTTGGAAAAGGTATGCTCTACAAAAATTTATATTGATTTTAACTGCCTTAATAGAAAATTGAAAGTTGTATGTATTTTTTATCAGTTTAAAAGCTGCTTTTGTGGCTGTGGACAGAAAGATGTTATTTGAACAAAACAAAAAATAGGATTATTTGGGAGGTTATTAGATGTGGTAAAAAAACATACAAAAAAGAAAAGATAAACTGAATTAAAACAAAGATCAGAAAGTCATTGGATGATTAAAGGAGTTAGCCAATTCAAATCTCATGATGTTCTTAATATATTTAAATGAGTTAAAAGTTGATTGGATAGAAGAAGTTTTGGTGGAAGTGTGATAGGTAAGAATAATTTGTTTCTGAGATATGCACATTATGTTGTAATGGTAGAAGATTATCCAAGGAATGAAGAGCATGTTAAAAGATAAATAAACATGACCTATTACTCTAGAAAACATAATTGGTTTTATTTAAGCCAATGTTTCGCAATTATAGTTTCGTCGGGACAAACAAAATACTTGCTAACTGATTTAGGCTTAGACAAAGAATTTCAAAATATTTTGAACATAGATAATAAGGTAGACTTCAGGCGAGAACATATAAACATAATTGTTATAAAATTATATTGTTATACGTTGTAAAATTGGGAGTACATGCAAACAGACAAAATTGTACTATCTAAAGCACACATAAAATATGCTATTATGCTAATTAAATACCAACAGTAATAATTAAAAATTCCAAAGTGATTTTTTTGTTTAATTATGGCTTTTTCTCTGAAATCAATAGAGCTTCATTGCATTATCTATCCAAAAAGATATGGGAGTGGGTAAGAATGTTTACTGTTATGGGACAATCAGTATCAGTTATACTGTGTTTCTCAACAAAATTTTCAGCCACAGCACTGGCTTTACAGTCTTATGTATGCAAAGCTCGAACATGTTTGTTTGTTCTATCAGTAATTGTTCTGCCTGTTTCACCATTGTCTTTATAATGTCCAGATAATTATCAAATATTTCTTAAGAAAAAACTTTATATTGTGTCTGTTATTTTCAGTAATTAATCTGTACAGGTTCGGTAAATTTGACCGATCTTGCAACTACCATAAAAAATTAGAAAATAAACATAAATTATGGCTCTTTCATTTTAGAATGAACACAAATTATAACACGAAAACATAAATGTTTAGACGAAATAGCTTAAATCTCATAACATTATACATTTGTATATATTTATTATTTTTGTTATATTGACCTTTCACCCATGCCTGGCTACAAATACAGACATTACAGTGACGCGCCTCACATGCACTCGTGTTACCATATTAAATAACATAAAGGTGACCTTTGGTCTGTGCAAAGTAAATTGTCTTGGCTGTGTTTTAGTCAACTAGTATTTTGTAGAATACAGTCTCATTTCAATATATACATTATATATGTATATAGATTATTCTTATTTTAAAATAAGTTCTCAGATATTTTTCCTAAAACACAGAACAGTAAATAAAGAAGTACATCAAACAATTATCTCAACTAGTTACAACCTTTGTACTTGGTTGCTGCTTGATGTAGGCTGCTAAGCCTTTAAAAATTTTGCACATGGAGGATGTGAAACAAAATATTTTTTTAGGTTCTATATATACTTTT